AAAAGTTTTCCAAAATCACATGAATCTATTCTTACTGTAAAACTTTTAAGTTGCATTTCAGAATAAACTAAAAATGAAAAACTAATAGTAATTAATATAACTAAAGCAATTTAAACACCATGTTAATGAAAAGCTAAACAGCAGGCGTCAGCTAATGCTCTCGCTTCCCACTGAACAGTGTACGGGAGAAATTTATAGTTCTCGCAAAAGTATAATTATTTCTTAAAAATATAATTATCGCTGAAACTAAAACAAAAAAAATTTTAATGATAAAATGAATAAACTTGCATTTACTTTAAAAGAAACCATGCTTAAACATAATTTTTTTTTTAATTTGCTTATTTTCTTAAAGCAAAGTAATGTTTATTTGCATGTTAAAACATTTTTAAAATGTTTGAAACAAATTTTTAAGTTTAGAAAAAATATATTTATTATAGTTTTTATTTTTGATTGTGCGTTTAACAACACCAATAATATGATATTTTTATTAACTTATTATTAAATACTTTACTGTTGGATTTCAGTTAATTAAACAACTTGCTGTTAACATTTTAGCATTAAAAATATCAACTTTTTTTAATTCAAAAAGTTTAAAATTTTACATTTAAATTTTATGTAAAATTCTGTTAAAATTATTATTTTAGATGGATCACTGTTTTTAATCTGTATACTTGCAAATCAAAATTCTTATAAACATATGAACTTTCTTAAAATATTTTAAAAAAGATCATTGAATATATAATGATCAAAAACCAAATGGAAAAAGTATAATAAAAAAAAAATTGGGAAAATAAAAAAAAAAAAATTGGGGCATGGCCCTGGTGCACTGGTCTGATAGACCATCTATCGCAATCTATCTTGATGGAAAAATCTATCACAAGATTCCACTAAAAAAAGTGGAACACATGACCCAAACCCCCCTGGTGTCTTGGGTTCTGGAAATAACTTTAACATGCATGTTCAATGACACTAAAGCAATGCCAAAAGTTTCAAAGCTCCAGCTAGTCTGAAAGGTAGTAAAAAATCAATTGCACTATTTTGCTACAAAAAAATTAGGATTGCACCTTCTTATTCATATATGGAAATCTATAAATTTGCAGATCTAAATCCTTATGTTTTCTGAAAGATCACTAAATATAGAATGATGTATAAAATTTTTTTTTGATATCATCAAAAGGCCACATTTCTTGAGCATCAAAACTCTCTGTCCAAGTGTGTTCAACAAGTAAAAAAAAAATTAATGGTGTAGCTTTCCTATTTTTTTTGAGTTATGCAATACGCACATGTTTTAGTCTGTTTTTATCAAGGTTGGCCACATGCTTAGTCAAGATTCTATTTTGCAGGAAAGAGAAAAAAACATCCATGGCCATGTTGAACTTCTGGAAAAGCAAAGAGAAGCGAGTGAGAATTTATCTAAATGATTATGAATTTTACCTTATGTCGTGAAAAATAAGAAGAAGATTGCCTTAACTGCTCAGTAAAGCCTTAAATGACTACATCATTCTGTGATGTTTCAGATTGCTTACACCTCGCCATTAGAAACACAATGACTATTGAAGCAAAAATTGTCAAAAAAAATCAGTGCTCTTTTGAACAGCTTGCCATTTTGAAATCAAATGTTCATCATCAATCAAAACTAAATATGGATGGATTGGTCCACTTCATTCATGAGGTCCTGAGACATAAAATTTATTTCTTGGCTAAATTTTTTTGTAATACTTTAAGATATAGTATAAGGATCTCAAAAAAAGTTTCATTTTATTCTAAAAAAAAATAGAACATATTGCCATTTTTGCAATATGTTCTTCTTTTTTTCTATTTCTCTTATTATTTATTAGGTTTAGCTTTATTTATAAAATTATAAAAGTAGGTTTGAAAACAACTCAATTCAATTTTTTTAAATTGGAGAAAATCACGAATATTTGTTTAATTGGAATTAAATCAAAGTTAAATTGTCATAAAAATTACCACAGTAAGTCTGAAGTTTCGGAAATATTAAATGGAGATAAATATCTGCTGAACTTAAGAATTGGAAAAACAAATATTATTCTGCATACAATTTGCATTCATTATAATTAATAATTTGTTAAATACTACTCAATATAAGTTTTGATGCATGCACATTATTATTTTCAATTTATTCAAAGATTTTTAAAGAAAATCTAAAAACTGTCACTTAGAGTATAATTAACTTAAGTCTGCTTTAATTCCTAGATAGGGGGAAGGGGGGATGTTTTGGCTGTGTAAAAAAGAAAGTTGAAGAAGTTGAAGAGAGACATGATTACATGTCACATGATCAATCTGTTAAACAAATTGTCTAATAGTAAACTCTGTTATACAAATTGCCTAATAGTAAACTATGTTATGCAAAGAGCCTAATAGTAAACTCTGTTATGCAAATTGCCTAATGTTATGTAAAGTCCAGTAATTTAAAAATATATATCAGAGTTTTAAACTGTAACAAGTTGCTTGTATTTTGCCTATTTATTTCAGACGATTGTGGCAATTAAAAATAAAAAATCTAAAAATAGTTGTTGATTAATATACGAATACTACAGTTAACTTCATTTAGGGATTTTTTAAAATATTTTTAAAGTTAAGGAAGTTATAATTTTTAATATTAATAGATGAAATAAAAAAACACTATTTTAAGAAGAACTATACATAAAATAGTTCTAGAAAAAGTAAGATACTTGTAGAAAAGTTAGAAAAAAGGCTTTAAAGTTGTCTGTTTTTACTATTCATAAATTGGGGAATGCAATTGCATAGTGTTAATAAGGCTATAGTTTCTAAACCATTGCACTTGGAAGCCTGAAATTTAACTTATCTACATAATATGTAAGAATCAGAAAAATTTAAAGCAATTGGTTGAAATATAATAAACTGACCCATGATTAAAGGAAAGAACAAATTTAAATTTTATTGAAAACATAATTATGCAAAAGATAATAAACAAATTAAAAAAACTATATTTTCAATTCTTTCACATTTTTTATCTCAGAAGATCAGTGTTTTGAGGGATTTTTTTAATTGGATATTTTATTTTTGTCTCAAGAAAATAGCACTGTTTGATAATGAGGATGCACAAATGATGATAGTGATATTTGCCCAATGGCAAGGCTAAAATTCTTTCATGATGTTTCACAATTATCTTTATTCTTCCTAAGCAATTTTCGAAAATTTTTAATTTGAATTTTTTAATTTGAAATTTCTTAAGCTTTTTTCAAATTTATAATTTACAACTGAAAACTATTTTTAGTAAATTAATTTTAATATTAATATATTATCCTTAATAAAATTTTGAAATTTTACAAGGTGGAGTATTGTTTATAAATTTTTGGACCATTTTGTTTTCAATAAATTTGAAATTTCTATAGTAACTATAATATGATAATTATGATAATAAATATAATATGATAATAATTATGATAATAATTATAATATGATAATTATGATAATAAATATAATATGATAATAAAAATATGATAACTTGTAATTGAAGGAATTGTAGATTTACAACTAAGTTGTAAATCTACAATTCCTTCAATTACAAGTTATCATATTTTTTGAATTAACTATGCTATGTAGATGCCCTATATATATCATTATATGTAGACATTCAAAAAAAGATATGCCCCTATTCTTAAAACTTTTTATAATTGTTCTTTTTTTCAAGCAACTCTGTTGAATTTTTCTAAAATGTAATTGGGTTAAATTTCATCTCAAGCCTGAAGTTTGCAACTTGAACATAAATACTGAAAAATAAAATCAAAAAATAATTTTTTTGATTTTACTGTTTGGAAAATGACTTTTTTCAACTAGAAATAAAAATAGTGCTTTTTTAGAAAAAAATTTCAATTATATATATTTTTTTGTTTTAAGATAAGGATTCCTGAGTACCAAAACACATCTAATTTGTATGAAACTTCGATATATATTTAAAATGGACAAGGAATCAATAGGGATTCTTTAGGGACAAGGAATCAATTGGGATTCTTTAACATTTATACATAATTTTTTATTTCTCAGAATTGAAAAACATTAAGATTGATTTGTTTAGAAAAAAAAGTGTTTTTTGAATAAGTCCAAACGGAAATGGGAATTATACCTTTTCCATAATTTTAAAAAGTATTTATTGATATTTCCTTAAAGATTTGGCATTAAAAGATTTATAATCTACTTTATTTTAAATATTAGGCTAGCAGTTTGATGTTATCATGGATTTTTTTTTTTATATTCATTTCTTTTTTAAATATTACCGTCCCTATGATAAACATAAAAAGTTTTCTGTCTTTATTGAAGTATTTTTATTTTTTTTAGATAATAAAAGAACCTTTGGTGGAGACTGGTATACTTATTTATTTTTAGCGTTTTTTATTGTTTTTTTTTAGATTTTGTTTCTTATTGAAACATTTTAAAAAAATTGTTTTGTTTTGCTTATTTTTCTTTTTTCCATGTGATTTTTGTTTGTTGTGATTTTTGATGTTTTCTTATTTTATTTTGGTGCCATTACAAAGATGATTTTCTAGACTTAAGTACAAGGCGTTATGTCAAAAAAAGTATCAGTTTTTCCTGTACAAAAAATGCAATAACTTTAGATTCACCTAACTTCTAAAGTTGAATGATTTCAATTTTAAAGTTTTTTTTAGCTCTATACAACAATGTTAATCATATAAAAAAATGTTGACAAAGAAAAAATCTTGTTAATTAAAAATATATTTTCAATAAAAATTTAAAACGTACTTTATATAAAACTTAAAATGTATTTCAAAAAAAATTTAAAATGTATTTCAAATAAAATTTAAAAATGTATTTTAAATAAAATTTAAAATGTATTTTAAATAAAATTTGAATTGTATTTTAAATAAAATTTAAAATGTATTTTAAATAAAATTAAATTTTTTTTTAAATAAAATTAAAAATGTATTTTAAATGAAATTTAAAATACATTTTGAATGAAAATATAAAAATTGAAAGTGTTTTTCAAAAACCATACATACCTTCAATATTTATTCAACACTTCATTAACAGCAAAATTCTTAGTTTCAATAAATTCAATAAAAACGTTTTTAACTACAAAAAAATAAAAGTAACAATAATCACAAAATAATAATACCAACTAATAAAACTAACTTGAAATAAAACTCTATTAAAAATACCCTAAAAAAATACATTAGTATCATACTTTCACAAAAAATAATTTAAAAATGCGTGACAGAATTCCAATAAAATATTATTTTTGATTTTTTTTAAGCTAATTACAATATGACTGTCAAAATATTTTATCGCTTAAAAAATAAATTTTTATTTGCTACCATTTTAAATTAACTTTTTAAAATATTTTTGTACCATAAGAAGCAAACTGATTACGTCGAGTAAGAAAATCCGAAAAATACGGTTACGGGTATTTTTACTCAGCAAACAACATCGACATTCGTTTTTTTATTCATTGGAAGGTATACCCAGAGACGATTTTAGGGGGGAGGGGAGGGGTGTGGAACCCCCCCTCCCCCAAGAAGGTGATTTCCAAGTTATAGTCGTTTTTTTACGAATTTAGTTGGCTAGTCGGGTATTTGACATAATTCAGTCGGGTAAATTTTAGTTTTGAGGACCTTTTTTTTTAGCCAATCGGTACTTTTTTTTTGAGGATTTTTTAAAATTTATACTTTGCTGTTTAACAATAAATAATCAAACAAATATATATACAAGAAAGAAAAAATATGTCCGTAGAACAAAGAAGACAGTAAAATCTTGTCAACAAGCACCGTTTTTGTATATACAGTATAAAATATACATTTTTTTTTTTACAATGATCTTTATAAAATAAAGAGTTAAACAGACAGGGGCTCAAAAAAGATAAAGATGACAATACTTTATTGCAGTCTTTTCATAGAGCCCCTATATACACTTTCCATAGAATATAGGTATTAAATTAAAAACCCTAATGGGCATAAAACTGCTGCGCTGATCAGCAAATCAAACAAAGATAAAATATAAAAAAATTAGAAAATAAATAAAATTCCTTGGTGATTCCTTTAAACACAAAAGGTTCGCAAATTTAAAAAAAAATTTTTTTTTAGAAAATTTAATGAACTTAATGACTTTGCCATACATTTAAAAACTTTTTGATAACTATTCCATATATTTGGTCCTTGATATGCAATCCTATATTCAGTATATTTATTAAAGTTTTGAGGCAGTTTATATGTGTTACTTATATTTTCTCTTAGATAATAGTTTTCATTTATGTTTATTTCAAACTTGTTATTAAAGTTTGCAGGAGAGATATTATTATTGAATTGATACATAAAAATCAAATGCTGATAGATATTTATTTCAAAAACATCCATCATATTCATATATTTCATTATAGGTTTAGCATGTTCACGCTTATTTTTATAGTAAATGATTCGCACGCATGTTTTTGTAGACTATAAATTTTTTTGAGTTTTGATGGTTGCGTACTTGCCTATGATATGTTTGCATAGCTGATGAAGCAATGAATTAGTTCAAAGTAAATTAGTTTAAGACTTTGTTTATTAATATATGAGCGAACTCAATATATCATACCAATTTTATTAGTGATTTTAGATTGAATATATCTTATTTGAGGAAGCCAGGATAACTTTTCATCAACAAGAATTACCAAGAATCTAATAATGGCTAGTTTTTTGATCAAGTTATTAAGTTATTAATAATTAAGGATTCATTCCCCCTTCCCCCTTATTTTATTATTATTAAGTAACCAAAGTAATGAATTTATTTTGATCAAACTTAAATATCAAACTTGAACGTTAAATAACATTGTAAGAGAATAAATTACTAAGTTCTCTGAAAACTATAAAACTTTTTGTACATAGAAAAATAAAGAAAAATAAAGAAAATTTTTTATCAAAACCAACATGAAAATTGGATCATTGTTCAGCAAAAGGAGAATGAATAACCAAAATTTATTCTAATATACTAACCAAAAGTGAATTAGAATAAATTTGACTTGAAACTAATTTCTAAAATGTAAAGTTAATTAATTTTAATATCTGTTTGTAAATAAGTTTGTAGCAAAGGGTTCCTGTGAAGTCTCCTTAATATTTATTTGTTAAATTATACTAGAAGTGAGTATTTTTACCTAATATCTTGCTTTTTAATAACCAATAGTTCAAAAAAAATCAAGAGCATTTTAAAGTTCTTCTCAGTTTTGAGCCTGAATAAGCTAGCAATTTTTTATTAGGCTTTAAAGTGACTTTGAAGTGAAGTTTTCGTCTTATTGTTACTATGTATATATATATACTATGTTTATATACTATGTTTCATTTAAATTTTTACTTATTAAAAAAAGTCATTTTTTCAGTATTCCGTTAATAATGGTATAATAAATTTGAAGAATAAAATATATTCAACTTTCAAATTAGAGTATTTGAGTCTTTAATTGATAAACATCTAAATTATTCAACAACTATTACTTACTTGTTATTACTATGTACGGATTTTTTAAATGTGCTAACTTGTTAACGGTATATATACGGTATTTATAGAAAAATTCTATTGGAAGCCCAATAGGCACATCTAGTTTTCGGAATTAAAACCTGTATAGACAAGTGTTTGTCGTGTATATTACGGGCATTTTTATATAATTCGTGTTTTTTAAGGTATTAAAGTCAAATTTAAATTTTATTTAAATTTGACTTTAATACCTTAAAAATTCATTCTTTTATCAGTGGTTTTACACATTCTTTTATCAGTGGTTTTACATTCCTTACGGTAATTTGGAAAGACAGAATTTTTTAATGTTTTAGATTTAACACTTGCAGAATTGTACTAAATCCAAACTTAAGTATATACTAATATACTTAATATATTATATACAAAATAGTATATTTAATATAATATTTACCTAGTATACTTAAGTATATTCGAATATATTTAACAATATATAGCCAGCTGGCACAACTCAGATAAAAGTTACGCTTGGTTTCTGTTGCGTTTTTAAAACCTTCTAAAACAAAAAGTATAATTCGTGTCGAGAATAATTTCCATTCCGTGAAATTACAATTTACCTAAAATTTACCTAAAACACCATATAAAATATTAACGGTTTCACCGTTAAGGAAACGTAGCATTATACTACCGAATTTCCATAAAGAATGTAAAACCAGTGTTAAAAGCACGTGGTATTTTAAAAGCTCAAAAAACACATGCTGAACTTGAGTAAAACTGCACGGGAAGCATATTTTTGGTTTACGCCTTGATCCTGACAAACATGTGTTTATAAAGGTTTTAATTCCGAAAGTGAAACTTGATGTGCCGGCTGGGTGTATAAAAACTTAATGCTACTCCAAAGTTGAGTATATTCATATATCAAGTGAGAGTATATTGCAAAAATTAGCTTTGATTTGAGTCTGGGAGCTAAAACACCCTTAAATGTGTGTTCTCCCACTACGAATCTAAGAACAATGGATTACTAAAAAATATTTTTTGAGCATACTTTAAAATCATCGACAGCTTTTATTTTCCTTTGACAATTTTAGGAAAAAAATTATCTTTATTCCATTAAAAATTTTTTGAATGCTTTTAATGTTGCAACATCAAAAGTATTCAAAAATATTTTTAATCGAGAAAATAACTTTTAATCGAGACAATATTCTTAAAATTTCTTAAAAGCTGAGAAAGTAATTGATAAATCAAAATCAAGGTATTACAGAAATATGGTACACGATACGATTTACAAAGTTGATTAAATCTTCTTTTACAAAACGGTTCATTAACAAAATTGTTATTTGTTAAGGTGTATTTGTTTATGGATTTGAACTTAAATAAATCTCTAAAACCTAATAGGAAGTTTGTAATAAGTCTTTTTTCACATAACAATGAAATATGAAAGATTATGTAATAAATATAATAGATATAATAAAATACATTTAGTTTGTATACATTGAGAGTTCTCATCTCCTTAAGAAATAAATAAAAATGAATTTTATAATCATTACAATTTTAAGTTTTTTAAAGTTCATCGCAATCGCCCAAAAAATAAGATCCGAGGCGCAAGTCTCAGCAATATTAGCCGTACTTTGTCAAAGAATTACAAACCAGCAAAGGACTTGAAGATTTTTAAATTAAATAAATTTACTTAAAGATTAGAAAAAAAAAAAAAAAAAAGAAAAGAGCCATCTAGAAAGTATTGTCAAAACACGCGGCACGCTTCAAGACAAAAGTTAGAAATTTTGTTAAGTATAAAAAAAGAAAATATATAATGAGTAAAGTTAACTCAAAAAAGTCAATATAGTGGGTGAAAGAGAAGACTTAAAACTCGTATCTTTTTTTAAAAATTTTGATTTTGACCAGATTTTTGGGCATTTTAGAACTTATCAACAATTGTTGATAAGTTAATAAGAAGATAAGAAGAAAAGATCAGTTTATTAAAAGAGTAGATAATTTTTATAGTTTTTGTTTGTATCTATTATTTTTTATCTTAATTTAAATATTAAACTTTTTTTTAATTTATGTTACTAAAATTTATTATTAGATTACTTATTTTGATATATTATAATAAATGTTTATTTTTGTTATTGTTATTATATTTCTTAATTTATATTTCTCTTAACTATGATTAGTTTTTCTACTCTTTTAGTTTGATTTTAAAAATTTCTTCAATATTTTTGTTTTCGTTATAGTATACTGTTTATTGTTCAACTACCATTATTATTATTTATTATAATTGTTAGTTTTTTGATGTTTTAATTGGTTGTTGTATCTTTGTTTAGTATTTTCATGTTTAGTATTGTTGTATCTTGTGTTTCTTTGTTTAGTATTGTCATTTATTTTTGTGCATTGATTGTATTGTCTTGTGCGATGTTTATATTCTCATTTATTTTTATTATACTCTCATATATGTAGGGATTGCAATCCCGGGATCCCGGATCCCGAGATCCCGGGATCCCGGACGTTTTTGGGTCCCGAAAATCCCGGGATTCTAAACACAAAATCCCGGGATTTTCGGGATTATAGCAGGATTGAACTAGTTAAATTATTTTGTAAAACAAAATGTTCAAAGTTGGTAACTATACTGAATTATAACGAGTTATATAATGCTGCTTTGCAGGTTTATCCTGTTTATGCTTTATCCTTACGATAAATGGAACAAATTTTTGAATAGACCATGGAGTTCGGGATTTTATCATTGAAAAAAGTTTCACAAACACAAATTAAGGCAGGTTTGTTTGACTATTGTATAAAAAACAATCGTTAAGTTTGTTGGCAAGACTTCTCGCGTTAAAAAGATAAATTTTAAAATTGTTGAGTGAATTTGTGGTTAAGTGATTGCTTGAGCTTATTAAGTCGTTTTGTTCATTTCAAAAAATATTTTTATAGAATGAAAAAAATAAAAATGAAATAGTAATAAAAAAAAATTATATCTAAAAAAATTTAATGATTACAACATAACAATTCCCTTTGGGATATTTCTAACGATTTGAATAATTATATTTGTACAATTATTAGTTATTGCAACATTATAATGCCCTTGACAATTAATTCCGCTTAAAGGAATTTTAGTGTGAATACATACAAAATTTGACTGTGGAATGAATCGTTTTGAACGTTTTGAACTGATAACCTTTTTAATGCTTTTGTTGTTTACAGCAATAATATGTTGTTTACTAATGCACCTTAAAAAAATATCCTTCTAAACATGAATGAAAACAGTGAAAAAGGAACATCATTTTTTCTACCCAAAAAAGATAAAGACCCAACTTCAGTGTGGTCACATTATTTGAAGTCTGCGGATAATTTGGCAGCAAAATGTAAGAAATGTGGTGTAATTTTGAAAACATTGGGTGGTTCTACAAAAGGCCTTCATACGCACTTATCAACTAAGCATAATTTGAAAGTAACTTCAGCCGACAAAAATTTACCTAGTTCGAGTCAACAGTTGAATGATGCCAGAACCGACGAGAAGCCTCCTACGAAACGAAGAATAACGAGTTACTTTGCATCCAAAAAAAACAAACCTTAGACGAAACACTGGCTCGAATGACAGCTTTAGATGGGCTAACATTTAATGTATTTATAACATCAAAAGATTTAAGGCAATTACTGATTACCAGTGGTTTCGAAAATTTGCCCAAGTCAGCAAACTCAATTAAGAGGATAGTGGTGAGTTACAGCTTAAACATTAGACAGTTAATTTCCAAAGAAATTTATCAATATAAAGCTTTGGGAACACGATTTTCTCTGAGCTTTGATGAATGGACTCCTACAACAAATAAAAGATACATGAATATTAATGTACATATCCCAAATAAGCACTGGAATTTGGGTCTTATTTGTGTATATGGTTCTATGAATGCTGAGAAGTGTATTGATGTTTTAAAAACACGTCTAAAGGAGCATAATGTTAATATTGATACAGACAATGTTGCTATTGTTACGGATGGTTCAAATGTAATAGTTCGTGTGGGAAAAATTATTGAGGCTGAACACCAGTTGTGTTTAGTCCATGGAATTCAACTTGCAGTTTGTGATGTTCTTTATAAAAAAAGTTCTACGCCAATGTCCGACACCGAAGCACCATTGAAGGAAACTCAAGATATTGTTGATGAAACAGATGATCACGAAGATGAAGAAAATATCAACGAGGAAATGGGATTAGGCTTTCTTCCCCCAACAAATGATGGAATAGCAAATATGGATTTACTCACCAATGAACAAAATATCAATGAACTAGTGAAAAAAGCCCGTTAGGTAGTTTTTCTTTTTAAACGATCCCCGACAAAAAATGATGCAGTCTTGCAAAAATATGTCAAAGAAGAGAAAGGCAGCGAGCTTTCGCTCATTTTGGATTGCAAAACAAGATGGAACTCTCTTCTATCGATGCTAGAGCGTTTCCTTGCTTTAAAAACATGTATACAGAAAGTTTTAATTGACTTAAACCACCCAGTTTCCTTAAACGAAAGTGATTTTGTGGTTCTTTTGGAAATAATAGAAGAACTTGCACCTGTCAAATTAGCAGTAGATGCGTTATGCAGGCGAGATGCTAATCTATGCACTGCAGATGCAGTACTTATATTTTTATTCCAGCAGATTGCTCAAAAACAACCTCCCTTTGCTAATAAAATGTTCCAAGCTATAAAAACAAGAATGGAAAAAAGACGATGTGAAGAAATTTCTGGTGTTTTAAAATACCTTCAAAATCCAAAATATGATGCTGTGAATGATGAAACAAATGTCTGCAAAATTTTTGGAGTTCCTCCTAAAACCCTTATTAGGAAGCAGATAAAAAAACTTATTGAGAGACTAGCTGCTTTTAAAAATGATAATTTAGAAAAATCAAGTATTGATGTTGATGAAAATATAATGGCTGTCGTTAGAAATGAAGAATCACAAGTTCGAGCCTCCCTGTCTTTAAGAGAAAAGTTACAAGAACAAATTGCACAAAGCATGCAAGCCATTGAACCAGAAACACAAACTTCAAATTTAATGTCAATCATAAAGAAAAAAATGCATCTGTTTGAAAATGGTGGAAACCGGGGGCATAATTTGAAATTAGTATACCAATATTTGTTATCTATTCCACCGACGAGCATCGAACCTGAGCGGGCATTTTCTGCAGCTGGGTATTTGGGAAGTAAAATAAGGAGTAGACTAAATGACCAAACCTTAAATGCTCTACTATTGCTCCGGGCATATTTTCAGACAAAAAAAAGAAAGTTTGTAAATAAAATATGCATTTAATATGAATTGTTTTTTTGTTTTACATTTATTATTTAGCTACCATTTATTTATAAATATGAAATAAAGATTTTCTTTAATTTTTGTCTCTCAATATTAACAAACAACTTATTATGTTATTTTTTACAAAGTAGCTTGTTGCTACAGCAGCTACATCGGTACCCAAATTTAAGAAAATTTATGTTTACAAATTTACTTTGAAATTTTGATTGTTTAGTTACTTTAGTCAAATACACTTTAAATGTTCAAATGTTATTTACATATCCAATTATTTGATGAAGGTTATTCTGTAAAG